CAAAGCATCCAAAAGTTTTTGGTTTTTTTTTTTTTTTTTAATTCTCCACTCCCCCATACACACCCAGAACAGCTACTTAAAAGCAAAAATGTGAGAATAACTGAGGCTGGCTTATTCCAAAAGTTGAATAACTTCAATAATTTTTTCTTTTCTTTTAAAATAAACTATAATTTTTATACAGAATTCTACATTGTTGTAAAATCATTGCTGTTTTCTACTTTAGGGTTGGAATAATTAGATCTCTTTGAGAATCGGTGGTTATAAATACATATTCTCAAAAAATACATTTACTAATTGTTCTGTGTGGTGTGGGTTATTACATAAGAATGCCTTGTTCTTGTTCTCATATATATGTATATATATGCAGACATATACATGTAGCACACACATATAGGTTTTACTTTAAAAACGTAATAATACTTCCTAGGCTGGAGAGATGGCTCAGTGGTTAAGAACACTGGTTGTTCTTGCAGAAGAGCCTGGTTTGAATCCCAGCACCCACATGGCAGCTAACAACTGGGTGCACTCACCTACATACAGGCAATACATGCATACACATAAAATAAAAATAATAAATAAAAATTTTTAAAAAGTAATAATGCTTCCAAAGAGGAATCTCATTAATACAGGAATGCCTCTGTCTATAACACTATCCCGATTCTTCTCAAAAGAGAGGTATTTCTAGTCCACAGAGTCAGGTAGTTTAGGTTTAGTTCATACAATTACTGTGAAAAACATCTGTCTTCCAAGAGCAAAAATTGGCTCATTACTTCTGAGTACAGGTTAGCTTCTCTCCAAGTTAGAAAGAGAATAATGAAGCATCCTTGGAAAAGAACCAGGATTTGATTAATCTTTTCATTCTGTGTATATTCCTAACAAACATTTGAAGAAAAGTCTATCTCTTCTCATTTCTCCATCCAAATCATGCAAATACTGCCTTATTGCAGAAAACAAATAAATGAATAAAATGATGATTTTGATGAGAAGAGTTAAGTCCTTACTTAATAGAATCATTTAACTTTAAATTAACTGCTTCCTGATAGCATAACTATGTAATAGATACAGGAAAAAGTAGATTAATGGAATGCTATGACAACGAACAAGTTCAACATGAATATCTTGAATTCCTGAGGGTAAGAATTATGAATGAATTTTCTCAGCTTGTGGGTGGCATACTCAAAAGTCAAGAAAGTTGTCAATGCTTAACTTGAGGAGATGTCATGAATACCAGGAGAACAGGAGACTTAAGGATTCCCAAGGAATGGGGAAACAGTTTGACCTGAAAAGTTATTCCCCTGATAATCTGAGTGCTTGTCTTCCATGGGTTAATTCATACTAGGTCACACATTCTTCAGATCTACCACTCAGAAAGAATGTTCCCAAAGTGAATAACATAGTTGTAAAAGATATTTTCTGACACTTGGGGCTATTCTCTGCCCTTACGTAATTCTTTCTCTATCCTACCAATTTCTATGTCAATTCAAATCTATTCTATTAAATGGAGCAAATATTTTTTTATTCCTACTTAAAGCAAAATAAAAGGTTCAGGAAAAAAAAAAAGTGGCAAGCGGGGGTCACATTCTCTCCTCTCAAAGATTTCAGTTTATTAGTAACAAAAAAGAAAAACAAATATATCTCAATAATAGTATATTAATATGAGAATACAGGCAAAACATGTAAGGATCATTGAACATCTCTACAGAAACACTAACTCCCATAACTTTGTACAACTATATAAAGTGATCACAAAATTATGTAAAAATAC